ATCTGAAGTACAAGTAACAACTTGGTTCTCTATTTAGTCAAGTAAATAAGTAGCCTACTTTCTAAAGAAAATGCAAACTGTAAGTGGTCATAACTTCTGAAAAGCAGGCTACTTATTCAACTTATATTTCAGTATTTATTTTGAGCCAGACACATTGAAAATCCAGGTATCTAGTTGGTAGCCCTTTCAACACAAGCCTCAGGGTTCTTCCCCCTTTCAATTACAGTTTTATGTCTTGTTCATGCCTTGAATAAAATTCAGAGCTTCAGAACAAAGTAACTCAATTTTTTGTGGGGGAGCATTTCATATATTAGTATTTGGGGTCAGATCCTATGCCATCTGTTATTTGTTTAAGTATTAGCCTCTTACACCCTGCTTAAGTCCTTGAAAAACTGCTAATGCAAAAGATGGGTGGTGGATCCTTCTCCACCTCACTACATTTTGTGACTAAGGCCACTGACAGGTGTTCTCTTACTATGAAATTCTTAGCACTAGAAAAATAGCCCAGGAGTTAAAGCAAATATGTGTTTCAGTCCCCTGGCTGGAGAGGTACATAAGTGAGCTCTCCAGTTGGGACACTAGAGGGCTGTACCTTGGGTCACCCCTGCCCATTGATTGGCAACCTGCCCTCTCACCTGCCTGGGAAGGGAGGCAGGTTGTCAATAGGCAGTTAGCAGGTGCTGAAAAGGAGACTGCCCCAGGAGGGTTCCAGCCCCCGATCCTGCCAGCCCCCCATCCTGCCAAATAGCTGATTGGCAGGATAGGAGAGCCATTCTTCCACAGCAGGAAACATAGTTTCTGCTGCGGGAGAACAGTCCCTGCTCCATACACTCCTATGGGTCCACCGAGAGAAGTGCCGGTAGTGGGGGATGATTCTTTTGCAGTTGCAAAACTCTTGGAGCCCCACGAAGGCTGCTGCTGTGCACAGTGTGGCTGCATCCCAGCCCCAGGGAGGGTTGGTTAAGGAGCCATTCTCCCTTGGCCACACTGCTTTTGAAGCTCTGGGAGGGTTCTTGCCACAAGAGAATTCCTGCTCCTCCCCGTCTGCAAATGGGGGGGGGGTCCCTGAGAGCTTGCCCCTAGGTGGGATATCGGGGAGCCACTGATTTCCCTCCCTTCCTCTCCCTTGAGCGGAGGGAAGGGAGAGCAGAGGACTGCGGGATATTGTGTGTCCTCAACACCAAAGAGAAGCATATAACCAAGTTAGTGCAGGACAGGGAAGGTCTTGATAGGAACTGATCTAACTTTCTTGTGGAAGTTTTCTTCAGTAAGAAACCCATTGAATGGTTGTACACTGTTTGTGGTGGGAGAGAGGATTTTCTCCTGACACATATTTAACACCTATCTATGGCCTTCTGTAAAGTATAAGATAAAGATATGTTACAAAACTAATTATTTCTTCTGGGACTCTTATACAATGGCATAAGGTGGCACTTAGGGGGCAGACAGCAGTGACAATTTTTGCTCATTCTGGCCACAGAAAGCAGTTTATAGCTGTGACCAAACACAAGTGCATGGCTGCAGACCACTTGAAAAATGGCATGAGGGGTCAGATGAAGGCATTTCAAAACAAAGCGTCTTCGGTAACTTCTGTCTGTGCTGCCTCCCAGGCTGTCACTGTTTTCGGAATAGGAGTGGGGAAAGGGAGCAGAGGGAATTCAGTCTGGGGGGTTTTTCAGCCCCTGCTAGAGGGTGGGGAGGGTGTATTGGAGCCCTCCCCCCCCCCACCCGAATAGAGGAGCTCCTCTTCACCCATCCCACTCTCTAGTGCTGGCTGGAGAACACCTAGGGCAAGATCCCTCTGCTCCCTTTCTGAAACAGGGACAGGCTGGGAGAGAGAAGGGACTGTTGCCAAGAGAACGTGGAACCATCAGTGAACTTCTGTTTGGTCTGAGAGATCATTGTAACTCAGAACACTTCCTGCAAAGCATTCGCAGTCACAGCAGGGAGCTGCACTTCTGTATTTGCCCTCATAAACTTACTAGGTAGAATAGGATTTGGCTGTAGGTCAGTTTTCATAAGTTTTCCTTAGTGTGCTTGAAAAGAGTCGGAACATTTCAGTCTGAACAATTTAAGTTTGGTGAAGTTATGAGAAGCAACTGAACACACTTCATTAAATGACCATGTTGGGCCATCTTAACTACTGTATTTATTCAAATCCAAGGTTTCATAGATTTCATAGACATTAGGGCTGGAAGGGACCTCGGAAGATCATCGAGTCCAAAGGGCAGGAAGTCAGCTGGGGTCATAGGATCCCAGCAAGATAAGCATCCAATTTGCTCTTGAAGGCGTTCAGTGTAGGTGCTTGAACCACCTCCGATGGCAGACTGTTCCAGACCTTGGGGGCTCGGACAGTAAAGAAATTCTTCCTTATGTCCAGCCTGAAATGGTCTTGTAGTAGTTTATGACCATTCGACCTCGTCATCCCTTGGGGCACTCTGGTGAACAAACGTTCCCCCAGATCCTGGTGGTCACCCCTGATAAACTTGTAGGTGGCCATCAGATCACCCCTGAGCCTGCACTTTTCCAGGCTAAAGAGCCCCATGGCTCTCAGCCTGTCGTCATAAGGTCTGTTTTCCTGACCTCTGATCATGCGCGTGTCTCTTCTCTGGATTCTCTCAAGCTTCTCCACATCCTTTTTGAATTGTGGAGCCCAAAACTGGACTCAGGACTCCAGCTGCGGCCTCACCAAGGCCGAGTACAAGGGGAGAATGACGTCCCAG